CAAGAAATTGGAAAAAATTGACAATTTTGGCCATAGGTTACTGAGCTAATTTCTCCTCATATTGAACTTGAATCTCAAAGTTCTTTCTCTGCAAAATGATTTTAAGAAGCTAGAAAATGGTAAGCATGTTATCTCATCAGCCCAGACAACTCAATTAAGATTTTGAATAGATTTAGTAACCAGTGGAGCACTTTACCCTAGTTTTAGATAGGGGTGGCAATTCCTGACACGACCCGAAAATATGACACGAACCTAACACGAAATTAATGGGTTTGGGTTGAAGTTTCGGGGATTCGGGTCAAAATCGGGTCGAACCCGATGAACCGGAAAAAAAAAACAGGTCGATTTCGGGTCAACCCGTGGTGATCTGATATGACCCGATATAACCCGTTTACGAATTAAAAATAATTTAATAAACATAAAATTATTTTATCTAACTAAACTAAATAGTCTAAATCATTCTTTTTTCAAAGGTATTAATTACTTAATCCTAAATGAATTTATTTAACTTGTGTGAAGTTGAAATTATTATATTTGGATAAATAATATATTATGTTAATTTTTACTTTTATGCTATTTTATATTTGGTTTGGGATAAAACACTTTTACGGTGTTTAATTTATTTTAGATTTGGTTTGAAATTATTTATTTAAATTTTTATTACTTGATGATGTAATTAATTTTGTGAGAAATTGATTTTATTAGAAATTACAGTGATAAATTAATAAATTAAAATTAAGTTTCGGGTCATTTCGGGTCGACCCGCCAACCCGAAATTTTCGGGTTCGTGTTATGTATCCTGACCCATTTCGGGTTGGCGGGTCAGGTTCGGGTCAGTGGATTTTTTGTTATACTTGGGTCTCAACCCGACCCGTCAACCCGAACTCGACCCGATTGCCACCCCTAGTTTTAGATATCAACTTCATGTTTCCAACACCTCCCCCACCCCCAGCCCCAAAAAAAGTGTTATGATTAAGTTCTCAAGCCACTTGAACAATGATTTACACAACATGTTAATTAAAATTTTCTTAAGTGATGATTTTCTTATGTGACTTAAAACATCCCAAAAGATTTTGTCTCGTAACATTTAGAATTGTGTCTGTAATAGACCAAAAAGCAATGAAGGCTTTCAGATAAATTATTAGTATAGGCAGTGTTGCCTCGACAAGAAAAACAGGTAAGAAGGGCGTTGAATGTTGAGATTCTGAAGACAAGCTTCAAATGTCCAAATGTCTGAATGATACATCTAACTGGCTATGAATGCAGACCATACACAAGTTAATAACAATAAGGCTCAAAAAAATAACAATAAAGAGAAAAAAAAGTGTTCCATGTCCCCTGTCCCTCCCAACATCAAACGTGTTATCTTGTTTTATTTTTCTCTTTATCTATTACTATTACTATTACTATATTAAAAGTATGACGAGACTTGGCATTATAAGTTGTAAGCAATTTTTTATCTTAATTTATGCTGTTTCCATATTACCCCAAGTTATTGTATTTTAATTGTGGTAGTAATTAAAATATGAAACAGTCCAAATGAATATATCTCAATAATAATGGTAATTAAAATGAAAAGCTCCCAATTAAAACTATTTACCCACTCTTACATTTCATCTCCAATTTTTATGTGCATCAAAGTTTCTTATTCGAAACAATTTCTTACTCAAAATAGTTTGACCAATTTCATTAACCACAATTTTAAGATTGTAAAAAAATATTAATATAAAAAAAATAGATGCTCTTAGAACAAAAGAGAATAAGAAAAGAGTCCATATTCATTTGGAGAATCATGATATGAATATCATGAGACAGGTACATAATTATGTGCCTTCTATCAGTATAGAGAAATACTAAAAAAAAGCAAAAATAAAAGAATCCAACTATTTCTATCAATTGAAACTAAATAGCCACTAAAGCTGTATAAATCATTATATTCTTATCAACCACGATAACACTTAGAAAAAATGTCAATAATCGAAATTCAACAATGCAGCTCATATTATTCAATTCAAATTCACAAAATTCTTTGTGAAAAGTTCAACTGGAAAGATATAAAGTAAAATGTTCATGCAAAGTTGGATATGAGCACGATTTATATATTTTATTCTTAAATAATTAATTCATTCTAACTATACAATTGCATTTCATTTGTCTTAGCAAGGGAAAATAATATTTAAAATGTTGATACAAATTTTTTTATCTCATAAAATTTGTTGATTTCATCATAAACTTAACTTTGGGGTTTATCTTTAAGCAAGAAAAGGCATGTCTAGACTCTGGTTCGTAAACAAGCTTTCCAAAAGGGTAAAGAAAGGGGTGAGTGTGGTGAAAATAATTAGAATGACAAAATCTAACTAATCAATTTATTTATTCTAATACCCCTTTAGAAATTGATTTTACGATTTAAGTCTTTATTTTACTAATAATTAAGAATTCTATTTACTAGGCTCACACTTGACATGTATGCATATATTTCCTGTTTAGCAATTTTTTTGTACAATATTTAAAAAATTAATATTATGATTTTATGGTAAAAATATTGTGAGTATACAACAACTTTGGTGAAAAATAACTGAATTAGGAATTATTTATCAAAGCTGAATCCATAATTTGCCAAAAAGATCGACATAAATTAAAAAAAGAAAACTCAAAATAAATTCAAAAATAATTGATCAAAGAGTTCATATTTAAATGGTCTTTGGAATAATAATTGGTTAATGAAAATATGACATGTTTTATTATCAGGTAAACAATCAAATTTCACAATATATATATATAAGACATGTTATATATGGGTTAATATAATCACGTGCAAAGTACGCAAACTAATACTAGTTTATTAAATGGATTGTTGATTGAATTCTTGTTGTTAATTTCAAAATTAAATTAAAGTCCTATTTCATTGACATAAGCAATTATATATAACGTGCAAGATTAATCAAAATAATTTGGCAGTATGGTGTGATTGACCCGGTTGCGAAATTAGTGCTGCTAGATGTATTAAAAGATTATTAAGAGCGTAATTAATGCTGTATTGTTCAAACATTTGGACTAATGATTAATGGTCTTGCAATGGAGTCGTTTTCTATAATTTTTTTTTAAAAATAATCCAAGAAATGTCCATTGACTATTTGTCCCTTCTTTTCCATATACTAGCAATCTATGACCAGAGAAAGAGAAGAGCACTCGATAGTGAGGTTTTGCAGTTCTTATCTCTTTTCACATTTGAGAGTTGTCTCATCTCTAAATTGAGATCTCTGCTGGTTCTCTTATTAATCTTTGATTAGATGGCCTCCAGTACTATAGTATTACTTGTATTTCTTCCGCTTTGGATTGGATGCTTTTCATCCAATTTTTAATTTAATTGAAATCATAGGAATTTATGATGTAGGTTTTTAAATCAGAGAGAGTTAAATTAAACATTTAACAAATCACAAGAAGTTTTTGATATTTTACCCTTTTAATTTTGATTGAGATATGTGATTCCTCTGTTTTCCAATGCGCGCATGAGCTGTGTGAAAATTGAAAGTTTAACAAACGCCAAACCATTAAGCTGACAAAACATTTTTGCGATTGATTAAACAAGATTTTAATGATTAAAGGGAGTCCTTTTTGATTGGTTAGACAGCCGCAGGAATGACTAGTTGTCATTTACTTTCTGGACACTAGCAATCAACGTACAGAAAAGAGGAGAGCACTTGTTTTTGAGGTTTTGCAGATCTTTCTCGTCTCCTTTCATATTTGAGAACTGTTTCATCTCTTAAATTGAGATCGATACATTCTGGTTCCCTTGTTGATATTCCCTTAATTAGATGGCCTCCACTAGTATCACTTGTATTTCTTCCATCTTGGATGATGTGCAAGCGCTGGAGAACGATTATCCAGAATTTCCAAATTGGCCGCAGAAGTACCTGAGACGCATGAGACACATGCTAAGATATCTGAGAACATTTCTTCTGTGTGCGAGAAAATACAGCAACGATGATGTGCAATTACTATTTGACAACAAAAAGAACCCGGCAAATAATCATCATGCAAGCCTAGAAGCTCTGGCAGTTCGGATTGGAGAAGCCATTCCCAAGTGGGGAAAGGAGATCCAATCTTCTGATCAGCCTTGGAAAGTGGTCCATGATTTAGAAAAAGACATGGAATCCTTCGAACAAGAAATTTGCGAATGGTACGTCTTTTTCTTGGGTTCCTCGTCACGGCAGTCCAGTAATTCGGTCGCTCGAAAAGATGACCTTATGGAATTCATGGATTCTCTTCTGGAGAATCTAGTGAAATATCATCCAAGGAGTCGGCTGGCACATCAAGTTGGACTAATTAAAGCCCTTGAAGAGAAGCTGGCGTTCATGAAAAACTTCATCCGTTTTCTCACACTGCATGGCGTTGAAAACACAGAATTGGGACCTTTGTTGGTTCACACTGAAGCTGTGGCTATCAATGCAGCAGGCCTCTCTTATAAGTTCCAGTTTAAGAAGGGTTTCGGATCGCCCAAGGATATCAAGGAAAGCATTTCGGAACTGCCGCAGAAGATTATTCCTGTTGAACCGCAAGTCCTTGAGACTTGTATCCAGGTCCTGATTGCTTCAAAATTATCAAGACAATCATACGGAGATACAGATGAGCGCATATTGAGAGACTTCTACCATTCTCTCCTGTGTAATCTTTGGGAGAAACTAAAGCATGGTACTTGTCCTGTGATTTTGCGTCAACTACAAATGTTTTACGAGGGGCTCAATTCCTTGAGAACCATTTTGAAGGAGAAGCCAAAGGAGTTCGATGAGAAAGTAAGAGATCCTACTCGAGTCGTGAAATGTTATGGAGGAGATTTTATTTCCCCACTCTCACTGAATGCAATCAAAGACGCTATACAAGCCAAGGATATGGATATCGTGTGTTCTGAGTTATTGGAAATAATTAAGCTCATCGATGCAGTAATCACGGAGAAGTGTCCAGAATCATCATCATTCACTTTTCCTACGACCAACGGACTGGGCTTTGTTGATTCCCTTCTAGAAAAGATGATGGATGTGACAAGTTCTGAGGCTGGCTCGATTGCTTTGATCGATCATTCAATTGAAAAAGTCCAGGAAGTACTTGTTTGTTTACGTTCTTTGCTGTGGAAAATTGTGGAGCTGCAAAATGAAGATGAGGAGGTCCAGGCAATTTGGAATCGTATTGTTGGGGTGGCATACAGGATAGAGCTTCTTATTGACTCCTTAATAACTGGAAATATCTTAGATTCTTCTTCAATGTCTATTCATTCCATTTTAGAAGAAATGAACATCATTAAAGCTGCGGCCTTGAAGATTTGTGATAGCGAAAGACTTGGTGGAAAAGTTAGCGAAGTAACGAAGAGATTCAATCACATGCCACAAGAAGGAAGTAAGCCAATAGTCAATGATGTGGTGGTGGGATTCGAGGATGAGACGGCATCGATAATCAATGGACTCATAAATGGATCACGCCAAGTGAAAATTGTTTCAATTGTGGGCATGCCGGGATGCGGTAAGACAACTTTGGCTAGAAAAGTGTACAATGATTTTTCAGTGAAGTCCCATTTTTATGAGCGTGCTTGGTGTACTGTTTCTCAAATATATCAAAAGAGAAATCTGTTGCTTCAAATTTTGACTTGTATTGAGTCCAAGCTTCCTGAGGATGTTTTTAAGATGGGTGAAGAAGATCTGGCTCTTCAAGTCAGAAGACGTTTGCTGAAAAACAGATATCTCGTTGTTTTGGACGATGTATGGGACATTGATGCATGGAACGGATTGGAAGCCTCATTCCCTGATGATGGAATTGGAAGCAGAGTTATCTTGACAAGTCGGCTCCGTGGTGTTGCTCCGCAAGCCAAACTCGACCATGAACCGTATTCTCTTCCTCAACTCACTCCTAATGAGAGCTGGGATTTGCTAAAAGGGAAGTTATATCCTGGACAAGATTTGGCTCCTCCAGAACTATGTGAAATTCGACAGCAAGTAGTGGAAATGTGTCAAGGACTACCTCTTACGGTTGTCATTCTTGCCGGAATTCTCTCAAGGATGGACCGATATGGTTGGAAAGAAGCTGTGGAAGGTTTACGTTCAAGGAATGTTTCTAGTACAGAACAATGTACCGCTACATTAGAGCTGAGTTACAAACATTTACCTGATAATCTGAAGGCATGTTTTCTTTATTTTGGAGCCTTTCCAGAAGACCATGAACACAATACCAGGAGGTTGATTTCTCTATGGGTCGCTGAAGGTTTTGTTCAAAAAACTCAGCTCAAGAGATCAGAGGATGTGGCAAATGATTACCTGATGGAACTTATTAGCAGAAGCTTAGTCATAGTTTCGAAACCAAGATCCATTGATGGGGTCAAAACTTGTCGCATTCACGATTTGTTATATGAGTTTTGTGTGACAAAAGCCAAAGAAGAAAAGCTTTTGCAGCTTGTTCGTAGGTATGATGACTTATCTGCTTGCACTGTGCCATGCTACCTACGCCGCTTATGCATTATTGATTCTAAGGTCGAGCACTTTGACAACTTGAGGTTATTTTCTCCTGCCATACGCAGTCTATTTTTATTCAGTCACGATGAAGACAGTAATAGTTTTGACCTTCGATTCATTTTTCACATCATCAAACTTGTCAAAGTGTTAGATTTGAGCCAAATTGGACTCGACCCCTTTCCTAGAGAGGTAGAACTGCTTGTTCACTTGCGCTACTTGGCGATTCTAGGTCGAGGTAAAATCAGTCTCCCATCATCAGTATGCAATCTCCCGAATTTGGAAACTTTGATTTGGCAAAATTCTTCAACTCATCGTTCAGTTTCACTACCAGATACCATATGGAACCTGAAGAAACTAACGCATTTACAACTAATTGATGAGGTCGATAGGCATTATTGTTTTTTTTTCCCTAGAGACAATCTTGACAACTCGTCACAGTTGCGTGACTTAGATTTCTTGTCCTGTTTGTCTCTCGATCCTGAGGAAAACATCAGCAAGCTGTTGAGAAAGTTTCCAAATATCCGCAAACTGAGATGCTCTGTCAATCTCAAGCCAGATGTTGAACATCATGTAGCAATGGATTGTCTAAGTCAGTTGGAATCACTCAGTCTGAGTCGCGTCCTATACGGTTATCAGCAATTTCATATAGATTTCCAATTTCCTTTGAGTATTAAAAGATTGACCCTGACTTATTTTGGCATGCCGTGGAGAAAAATGGCAGCAATTGGAAATCTGCCAAATCTTGAGGTGCTCAAATTACTCGAGGAAGCCTTTGAGGGGGAAATATGGGAAATGGAAGCAGAGAAGTTCCCTAATGTTCGCTTCTTGAAATTAGCTTCCTTGAACATTGTGAAGTGGACAGCCTCCTCCGAGTATGAGTACGAGGACCAGGACTATTTTCCTCGTCTCCAGAAGTTAGTGTTGGAAAGCTGTGATGCATTGCAGGAGATCCCTTCTTGTTTGGGAAATAGTTCAACTCTTGAAATAATTGAGGTGTCTAAATGTCCCAACTGTACCAGTTCATTGGAGGAAATTCAGGAAGAGCAAAGAAGCAATGGATATACCGATCTGAAGATCCTTATCTCATAATGGACGATTGATCTTCTCAAGTAAGTTTTTTAAGTCCTTTACTTGGTGTACTGCTACGGGTTATGTGTATCTGTTTAGCATCAAGATCAAGTTATTCTTTTTCTTAATAGTTTTTCTTTTTCTTTTTCTTAATTAGTACTGGAAAGCTGCAAGTTTTTGGAGGAGATCCCTTCTTGTTTGCAAAATCTATCAACTCTTGAAAAAATTGAGGTGTCTAAATGTCCCAACCGTACCAGTTCAGTGGAGCAAATTCAGGAAGAGCAATTAAGCAGGGGAAATACACTGATCTGAAGATCCTTATTTCATGATGGATGATTGATCTTCATTCTACTTTTCTTTTTTAATCCTTTACTTCTGTACACATACTGGTAAAGTTGTATCTGTTGAGCATCAATCAAGATCAAGTTGTTCTTGTTTTCATTGCAAGTTTCTTGTTATTCCTGTGACCGAATCTTGTACTGCGACGTAATTTTTTAATACTCTGCTTGCACAACTGAGTTTGCAAATTTTCCAAGAACTTATTTGTCTTTATTGGTTTGAACTTTGAATTACAATAATATACTATTGGGAGATTTCCGGTAGTTAACAAAATAACTTTTGATACAAGCACGTGCCAAATAACGTTTTAAATTGTTCTAAAATTGATATCTTGAAAAGTACTGTATAATTTTCAAAATACAAAAGGCCTCCCAAAATAGGTAACATTTAGGAAAAATGTAGAGGGCAAGGTATAAGTGGAACATTTTTTAAGAGATTTTAGCATAATTTTTAGGGCCACCCCAACTTATATAGTTTAACGGGACAAAATGTGGTATGCTGGTGACAAAATTAAAGTAACCAAACTTGGAAAACTTACATAAGCAAAGTTTAGCTAGCGCCAAATGCAGCAAAATGTTTGAAACAATGAGGAAGTATGATTGTGTAGTCACTAATTAAAAAGGTTCATAATCTATGCTATCCTGTCCATCTTGTAATCAATCTAAGACAAGAAATTCAGCTACCAAAACATGGTACAATGTAATTCTAAATGGGACTAGTAAATTGAAGGAAACAATGAAATCATCTAGCAAACGCACTAAACATGCAATAAAATCATTTGATGCTAATATCACTTAATCCACCAAACCATCCAGGCTCCACATCTGCTCGAAAGTTGACTCTAGAGGGTGGTTGTGAAGCAAGTAGAACATCCTTAATGTTGTTTAGGATTCCTTTGTCATAGGGGTTTCCCGAGTTCACATACTTTTGGTGGAAATGCTCATAAGATGTTTGCACGAGGCATAATATAGAAATTGCATCATAATTTGTTTAAGCAGCTATTTAGACTGGCCTTCTATGTTTATATGCCAAAGCAGAAATTAATTACCTCAAAGCTGTGCACTTTAAATAATTGTTGTACCGAAAATTCAGTACTGTTCTCAAAAGAATTGCCCATTAATTAATATATTTGACATAGACGAAATACAAGCATGCAAGAAAAATATGCATTAATTCAACTTTGAGATAAACCGTGATGATATAAGTACTGTTGGCATAAATGAAAGTATAAAGGGCAAACCTGGTTTATAGCAATTAGATAAACATGATAACAAGAAAAGCCGGCAAGAAAACTCATGGCTACAAAACTGAATAATGTCAATGCCACAGTCTCCGGGTCATTTCTTAGCAATCCAATCACCCCATTTCCATCTCCGGGCAATTTGTGATGTACTGATTTGCACGAGGAGATAAATATGAAGGCAAACAAGAGCAATCCTGTCAATAAAAATGTTACATGAAGCCAATAATTCCTCTGCATTTTGAAAGAAAAAAAATTAGGAAGTTATGGTTAGTAAACTAATTTTAATGCCAGAAGGTCTTGCAGGGTTGTGATCATACATACCAGTCCCACGCAATGCCCGATCCAGGTGTGTTAGGACCGGCCCAAGAATAAACAAACTAAAGTTAGCACAAATTAGGCGATATAACCGACCATATAAAGATTAGGCGGTAGACACCAGCCATATAATAATTAGGCGGTAAAACCGACCATATTAAAGGGTTGTGGCAACCCAATAAAGACAAATAATTAAGCAAATAAAAGACGCAGAAGATTTACATGGTTCGGTCAAATTGACCTACGTCTACGAGCAGAGGAGGAGCAATATTTCTACTATGAAAAAGAAATACGAAAGTCGTAGGAAAGTGGTTCTTAGTCCAAAAGGCACTTATAAAAGGTTTAGGACCATATAAAAGGGTTGTGGCAACCCAATAAAGACAAATAATTAAACAAATAAAAGACACAGAAGATTTACGTGGTTCGGTCAAATTGACCTACGTCTACGGGCAGAGGAGGAGCAATATTTCTACTATGAAAAAGAAATACAAAAGTCGTAGGAAAGTGGTTCTTAGTCCAAAAGGCACTTATAAAAGGTTTAGGAAATATTCCTAAATACAAAATAAGAGAGCCTAAAATATTTGACTATAAATGGGTTAGATGACTCAAGAACCTAATAGTCCATATAACTCTCTTGAGTGGGGCACTTGAAACTAACCAAAGGCTCCTATATTTATAGCCTTCAGTAGCCGACTTCTCCTTGGCATTATTCGATGTGGGACGAAGCAAAAGAAGCATCGGTCAACAAATGCGGTTTCAACAAATCTCCACCTTGATGAGTCTCTAACATTGAGAAATAGCAAATCTATTCCACCTTCGCAGCCCCAATAGGCCTAAATCACAAACAACGAACATCAACCAAATCTAAGCACTGCTTGAACTTGTAAACTGGAAGAGGCTTCGTAAACATATCACCTGGATTGTCCTTGGTATTGATTTTCTGAACAAGGACCTTTCCTTCAGCAATGATATCTCGAATGAAGTGATACTTCACATCAATGTGTTTCGTTCTCTCATGATACATCTGATCTTTAATCAAGTGTATGGCACTTTGACTATCATAGTGAATATCAGTATAACACCTTGATGTAAACTAAACTCGCTAAATAAACTCTTCAACCACAAGGCTTCTTTGATTGCCTCGGTCACAGCCATATATTATGCTTCTGTAGTAGACAAAGTTACGACAGGTTGTAGAGTAGCTTTCCAACTAACAGCACAACCGCCAATACAAAATACATAAGCTGAAAGTGATCTTCTTCTGTCAAGATCCCCAGCGTAGTCTGAGTCTACAAAACCAACCAAAGTGTTATTATTTCTTCCAAACTCCAAACATGCATTTGAAGTACCTCGCAAGTATCTGAGAATCCACTTCACAGCCTGCCAATGTACTTTACCAGGGCAAGATATATATCTGCTAACAACACTGACTGCTTGTGCAATATCTGGACGAGTACAAATCATTACATACATAATACTGCCGACTGCACTGGAATAAGGAACCCGTGCCATATACTCTTCCTCTTCATCTGATTTTGGTGATTGAGCAGCAGATAGCTGAAAATGGCTAGCAAAAGGAGTAGATACTGGTTTAGTATCTTTCATGCCAAAACGCTCCAAAACTTTCTCAAGATAATTTTTCTGGGTAAAAAACAACTTCCCTACTCCTCGATCTCTCTTGATATCCATGCCAAGAATTTTCTTAACTGCTTCCAAATCTTTCATATCAAATTCATTATTTAACTGCAGTTTTAAAGTATGAATTTCTGACAAAATCTTGGCAGCAATGAGCATGTCATCAACATATAATAATAAGTAAATGAAAGAAGTATCATTTAATTTCCGGAAGTAAACACAACTATCATACATGCTCCTTAAATAACCATGACCCAACATAAAAGAATCAAACCTCTTATACCACTATCTTGGAGACTGATTCAATCCATATAAGGATTTCTTCAATAAGCAAACATGGTCTTCCTGACCTTCAATTTCAAAACTCTGGGGTTGTTTCATATAAATTTGTTCTTCAAGTTCGCCATACAAGAAAGCTGTCTTAACATCAAGTTGCTCTAACTCCAAATCATACATGGCAACTAAAGCAAATAAAACACGAATAGAGTTATGTTTAACAACAGGTGAGAATACATCATTAAAATCAACACCTTGTATCTAACTATGGCCCTTACAACCAATCATGCTTTATACCTTGCATCTTCAACCCCTGGAATACCTTCCTTTTTCTTGAGAACCCACTTGCAACCAACTATTTTCTTATTTGACGGCGGCTATACAAGAACCCAAGTTTCATTCTGATGAAGAGATTCAATTTCTTCATTCATCGCAATCAACCACTTTGCAGAATCATCACAAGAAACTGCTTCTGAATAGGTGAAAGGCTCACCAACTGCATCAGTTTCTTCTGCAACAGACAAAGCATATGCAACTAAATTTGTATATCTTTGTGGTGGTCGAATGTCTCTCCTTTGTCTATCTCTGGTTATGGAATACTCTTTTTCTTCTGAACTATCTTCAACAGTAGATTCAGGTGCATCTACTGGCACTTGCTGAGTAAAAGATTTGGACTTAGAAGGACCAAAACTGCCAATATCAAGCTCCACCTGCTTCTGTGTACTATCAGTAGTACAAGGACTAGAAGACTCTTTCTTGGAAGATAACATAAACAATTTATCAAAAGTAACATCTCTACTGATTACAAATTTTTGGGATTTGGGATCAGAACACCATAATCTGTATCCTTGCATCCCAGAAGCATACCCAAGAAAAATACACTTTTTAGCCCTAAACTCCAATTTTTCATCATTCACGTTCATGTATGCTGGACACCCAAAAGCTTTTAAATTGGAGTAATCAGCAGGAGTACCTGACCAAACTTTCTCAGGAGTTTTGAAATCAAGAGATGCAGAAGGAGAACAGTTGACAATAAAACAGGCCATATTGATCGCCTTTGACCAAAAGTCGTTTGTCAACCGTGCATTGGAGATCATACATCTTGCTTTCTCCAAAAGTGTTCTATTCATACATTCGGCCACACCATTTGTTGAGGCGTCATCCTGACAGTGTGATGCCGAACAATTCCTTTATTTTTGCAAAATCTATCAAATTCACCTCCACAAAATTTCATGCCATTATCTGTTCTCAACCACTTAACATGTTTTCCTGTTTGTTTCTCAATCAAAACTTTTCATTGTTTGAAAGTTAAGAAAACATCATTTTTATGCTTAAGAAAATAGACCCAAACTTTTCTTGAATAATCATCAATAAAAGTCAACATGTACCTGGCACCACCTTTAGAAGGAGTGCGAGAAGGACTCCATAGATCTGAATGAATGTAATCAAGAGTACCTTTTGTCTTGTGAATTGCTGGTGAACTGAAACTGATTCTTTTCTACTTCCCAAAAATACAATGTTCACAGAATTCCAATGGCCCGGTACTTTATCCACAAAGAAGTCCTCTTTTG